ATATTGGATAGAGTATGGTGTGACTCTATGAACATGATTAATAATTAGATGATTGTGTGGTATAGACTATTTCCTGTACTTGTATGATTGATTTCTTTTAAACTCTAGCTTACCCTTCTGTTTCCATGTGGTGAAACTGCGATGATCATACTTGGTATGGGAGCAGGTCAGGGATAGCTTGGAGTTGAGGTGACCGCTACAAGACGGGGAGTTTGATTCTCGTGTTAGAGTTACCACCTTGGGTAAAAGTTTTGTGCTTGACCGGCACTAGGAGATAGTAGTTTTGGATAATTGTATAAATACCTAATACTTAAAAATTTAATGATTCTCATATATTTTTCATGTTTTTTTGTATTTATAAGTTATCCAATTTTATTATTTATCTTAGTTTACTATTTTTAGTGCGATTCCACTAAGTGTAGGAACCACGGCGGGTCGTTACACTAGAGATCGACCTGGTGCTGGATGTGCATAGCCTCTAGGGCTTTAGTGTTTTGCTATCGTAAAAGCTCCATCTCCTCGAGCAACCTTCTAACTGTTGCATCACCTTCCATGTTTGGCACACTTCGATCTTCTTTTGGATCTACTACTCATTTATTGTGGCTTCGTGTTGAAACCATTAGCTTGGCCGAAGTAAATTTTTTCTTCAGTCCCACGATGGGTGCCAAAATGTTTTCACCTAGAATGTCTTGGTCTGACCTTCCTTGGCGAGATTGTAAACCTCTCTTACTTGGTATGCCTGGTGTTTCGATGGGGGGATACCTGCAAAAGAGACTTTGATGCTAAAGTTAGTTCTGGAATAATGTGGATATCTCATATATAATGCACGTACCTAGGTGATTTTTAGGGTTATCTTGATTACGAATTTCACGGTAATTATGATGCGATATCATAATTGTATCTTATATTTTCATCACATTGGCCAAAAGTTGACCTGGCACCTAAAGGCTAATGTGACCTTGTTGATACATCATGACCTTTTCCGTGTTGGGCATCTACTAAGGTCGAGACATCTGATCTATTTGTGCGACCGAGGTCACCAACTTAGTCAGGTTAGTACATACACACATATATATATATTGTGTGTGTGTGTGAGAGAGAGAGAGATAAGATATTAGTTATAATTATTTGAATAATTAAATCATAATATCTTAACTAATTACTCCAATAATCACAAATGTCATTGTCACCATTGTTGTTGCTACCACTGCCTCCACCAACATCATCATTATCATCGTCACCGTTGCTATCACCATAAACAACAATGGTTGTAGTAGCAACGATGAAGATGGTGGCGGTGACGATAATAGTAGTGAAGGTAATGGTGATGATAATGGTTCTTGCAGAAGCGATGGTGACACTTATGATAATGATGACATTTGTAATGATAATTATGATAAAGACAATTATAATAGTGATACTTTTATTTATAATCTGAACTGTCTATTTTAATTTAATGGTTATTATCAATAGTTCTTGATTTTATATTAAAAAGTTTATTAAGAATTAAGTATTGAAAAAATATTTGATTTAATAATTATATAAGTATTCAAAATCTTATAATTCATTTCGTTTTTTTAAAATATTACGCCTAATTAATTTCAATTTGATCCTTTTATATGATGTATATTTCTTTTAATATTTTTTAAAATTTTGAAATAACTATTTTATTTGTTTAAAATTAATATTTTTTAATTTTAAAAAGACTCGTATTAAGTATTAACCAGTTTAGTTTAGTTAGTTAAGATTTATTGCAAATAGTTTAGATCAAACGTTTTCATTTGTAAAAGTACAACCCCGTGTGCTACCCTTACCAGGAATACCATTTAAAACTATTTCATAATAAATATTTGAAGTTAAATTAACCAATATTTTATAAATATTTGACTATCAAATATTTTTCATTTTTTTCATAATCATTTTAATATTATTTTATTATTATTTTTTTTATTTATTGTCAATTTTTTAAAATTAATGACTTATTAATTTTTATTTTATTTTTATCCTTGATAATTGTTATGTGTTTGTTTACTGAATAATATGTTTATTCATTTTCAATGTACATATTTATTCTCCAATCACCTAAAGAGTATAATAGAAAAATAAATAATAAATATTTTAAAAAATTAAAATATTAATTATTTTCTTAATTCTTATATAAATCGTAAATGTTAAAAAAAAAAAAATTGGAAGGAGCAACATATTGGAGTAATCTCCTTGTCTTCTTTGTTACTTATTACTAGAGTAAGTCATAGTTCATAATGTTCATTAATATCTCACATGATGGATAATAATATCATTTTGTTGCAATGATGCATCGTTCCATCCTCCCCATTTGGAAGTGCATGCCTTCATTTCCGACCGTCCCATGTGGGTCAGGTTTGCAACAGTTGAAGATTCTTTATCTTATCCAATGACAGCAATCCAAGAAAAACAAGCTGTTTTAGTCTTTTTTCCAAAAGCATCGATACATAAGTTCTGGAAAGAGTAATTAATTAGCTGTGACTCCTTCGTTGCCAGCTCCCACTTCTCATTTATTCGCAACAAAATTAGGTGCATTAATTTAACAAAGCCATCACATCACATGCTCACAACATCTTGCAAAACCTCCAAAATATCTTGGTCCAATAATCACAAAACCTCTCAACAACACCACCAACATCCCTCCTTGAACCAGCATTTTGCATTAATCCAGTGTCAGGTTGATAATCAAATTTCAATCCGAATTAAGAAAAATTAACACAACCATCGCTCAAATTCAAGTGCAAATCTCGATAACATTACTCACTAATTACTTACAAAGTTCACATTCAAATAATTAGCTAATATAATCCACTAACTACCGATATTTTTCGAAATGATACATATATTTTCGTACACTAAAAGGATTTAATTAATACATAAAAATTTAATTAGCATCATTACAAGAAACGAGGTTGTCTAATTGAGAAATTAACAACCAAATTGATGGATCTAAATGGCTGAATTAGATCAATACAAACCCACGACAACCTTCAACAACTTAAAAAAAAAAAAAAAAAAGTTAACCAAGACTTGGACGAACCATCCAACCGAACCGGACTCAAATTATTCAAAACTGAAAAAAAAATAAAAATAAAAATAAAAAGGAAAGAAATTGAAGAAGAAAAAAATGTGTTAACTTGATTCCGAATGGGAGTTCACACTTCAAATACGACCCCTAATTTACGATGGTGCCCCTCATCCTCGTGGGACCTGAAGGGCGCGGGGGAAGAGGAAGGGGAGGAATGGGCGGCGGTGGCCAAAGTGCCTTCGCTCCAGGCCCTCCTGATGGGGTATGAGACGGTGTTACCGCGCGGCGACTTGTGCGTGCAGGCTCTGGTGGACTTGGAGTGGAGGGCGCACCCACAGTTGCGGTGGTAGGGGCGGCGCTCCACGTCGCTGTCGAAGGCGGAGATGCAACCCTCGTAGATGGGCCGGAAAAGCCCGTCTGCGCTCGCCATGCCGAGAATTAGGGTCGGCAGGAGACTTAATTCTCAGCGGTTGCTGCGACCCACCCGTGCGTGTTTGCGTCTGTGCGACCTGTGGTGGGCGTTTATATAAGGACGGGGAAGAGGTGGTTTTATAGGGAGAGGGGGAGACTCAGTGTGTGCCACGTGTGCAGAGCCGTGTTTTGTGCCTCGCCCACGCCACGCATCACCCATGTTTTCACGTGTCTTTTGTTCCTCGATTCCCTAACTGTTTTCGGTTCCATGGTGGGTTTCAACTTTTTTAAATAATACCAAATAAGGCTAACGTCCTTCTCTTTTTACGCTTTTCTCGGACCATTTTTTTCGGATTCTTTTTTCTTTTTTTTAATTTATTTATTTCTTTTAAGAATAATAACTGATGATTAAAAAGTTGGATGGTATTTTAGTTATGCTCATAGTATGGACGATCATCATAGTTCTAAATTATTAGCTTATTAAATTTGTTACGAAGGAAATGAGATGAGTTTCTGTTAAAAGTTAAGTTTAATAAATAAATGAATCCAATTTAAGTGATATATAATTTGATTCGAGAATCATTATAATATATATAAATATATAATTTATATAATTAATTTTTTATTTAATTTTAATACTTAGTTATAAATCAATAATAATTTAAAAAGAAAGTAAGTGTCTCAAAATTTTTATGGTTATGGATATAGTTTTCTTTTACTATTTATAGCATAGTGGAATAGTTTTTATTTAAGTAGATTTTAGATGTAATTATGTTTATTTTAAGTCATACCCTATAACTTATAAAGTAAATAGAATATATTATACTTCATCGTTCTAAAAAAAATTTAAGACAATCATTTTATTCAAAGTATATTAATAAATTGAAATGTTGAAATTTAAAAGATTAAAAAAATTAATTCTTAATTCATGTGATTTAAGTAAATAAGCTAAATCGAACTATTAACATGCTGGAAAAAAATAAAGATTTATGTCAAACTCATATCGATTTTCGAGTTTGACTTATTTACACTCTTATGCAAAGTGTTTCATCTAATATCCCATCTGAAACATTTGAACAGACAACCCCTTACCACAAGCTCCCATTTTTCCAAAGCTCGTGGAGCCTATTCATCCAAAGGTTAACCAAGAGCTCTCTACTAAAGTCATTATTGACAAGGACGGAGCCAAGGGGGGACCTACGGGTGCCACGGCCCCCCCAACAATTTTAATTTTTTTTTATATACATATATATTACTATATGGCACCCCCTATTTTTAATATAAACTCATATTTTTAATATAAACTCATATGTATATTACTATATGGCACCCCCTATATGGCACCCCCAGTATTGAAATCCTGGCTCCGTTATTGATGTTGTTCCAATCAGTGTTGATACTTCAAGTGTGGAGGAGGAGATGTGTTCAGCAGAAAAGGTAGATTGACAACCTACAATCTTTGATTCTCAGCAACGCTCACCCTACATGAACTTCAATCAATACGAAAGTATGCGTCTGGCAGAAAATCCCATCATCTCAATCAATCCCCTCTCCGTCACTAAATTGGTTCGTAAGGAGATTAATATAACCAATCCTCCTAGGCTAAATGCTCAAACGATGAGGATAGTCCAACAACTTCAAGCAAAAATGTAGGATGTACTCGCTTCCAGAATTATTGTGGAACTTAGTGTTGAGATTCATGGATGATGAATCAAGTTCTGAGAGTTTTGATGATAAGAAAAGTTTTAAGAGTCTTGAAGATAACAAAGGACATAAGCTAATGAAGACATGAAGATCATGAAAGAAATATGTAATAGGAGTAGTTTATGTGTTCTTATGTGTTGAGTTGTCTTTTTGATCAATTTTATTGTTTATGCATGTGTGTGCTTTGTGCATGACTTGATATTAATCCAAGTGGTCTAAGAATGAGTATGATGATGTTTAAAAGTAACTTGGAAAGATTTTGAAGTGTGAAATCAAATTTTTCAAAGTTTACTCAAAATAATCGATTATTACTAACTATAATTGATTATTCTAGCAAGAGGTTGAGAGAACCTTCTTTAATAATCGATTATCCTGCAAAATAATCGATTATTCTGTTCTTGAGTTATTTTCAGAATTCATGAAGAATAAAATAATAGATTAAGTAATCGATTACCTGGGTTTGAAAAACTTTATAAATAGTTCTCATACTTTGAAACAAAAAAAAAAAAGAACAAAAGAGAGTAAACAATTGATTTTGTGAAGTTTTTGTGACCTTCTTAGGGTGTTTTCTTTGTGAAACCAAGAAGAAAAACATTTTGTAAAATGCTTTGAGAGAAATCACCATCATCACTACATTCTTGGGAAGAAGGATTAATATTGGTTAAGAGTTCACAGTCTGATTTGTTCAGCTTCCAGGTGAATTCGTTCCTTTAAACTTTTGTGTAATGTGTTAAGAAAATTTTGAGCAGGTATCTCAAGTGGTAAGGAATTCTTGTAGTGGGTTTCTACAAGAAGTGCTTTCTTGGGTGCAAGAAAGTGTCTATCTTGTGTGTTGAAGTGTGTGCATGCGTGGTATGCTTGTAAAACTTCTTCATTGAGATAGTGGAACAAATCTTGATCAGGTTATGATTGAGGACTGGATGCAGGTCACATGTGGAGTGGCTGAACCAGGATAAAACACTTTGCACTATTCTCTCATCCTTATCGCTTACATTGAACAATCTTTAATTGAATGTTAAAATGGTTGGGGTCTTGATTAATATGCTTGTATGATTAAAAATGGTTTAAACTAAAACATAACCACTGCATTAGAATGAGAATTTTCATTGAAGCAATTGATATTGCTACATGGAATGCAATTGAAAATGGACCCTATATTCCTATGATTAAGGAGAGTGATGGGAAGAGAGAAAAACATTAGAGTGAGTGGAGTGATGATGAGAAAAAGAGTGCTTAATATGATTATAGAGCAAAGAACATTATAACATCTGCATTGTCTATTGATGAGTTTTTTAAAATTTCTCAATGCAAATCAGCTAAAGAAATGTGGGACACACTACAAGTTACTCATGAAGGAACAAGTGATGTAAAAAGATCTAGGAAACATACACTTATAAGAGAATATGAATTGCTAAGAATGAATCATGGTGAATCAATTTCTGAGTTTCAAAAACATTTTACACACTTGATAAACCACCTTATTGATCTTGGTAGGAAATTCGAGGAAGAAGAATTGAACTTGAAGGTTCTACAATGATTGGATAGGTCTTTGATCGAAGCCGTATCCGGTCAAATAAATACAATTAAATGTAGTACTAAGAAGTGACTCCTAGGTCGTCTCCCAAGGATCGTCTTTTACTGTTAAAGGCTTAAACACATGAAGTGGGGGTTTTGCTTCAAATTTTCAGTTTGTAACACTATAAAACGAATTAAAACACAGCTAGTAAAACAGATTGGCTCCTTGTTTGAATTGCAACTCTTTTATCCCTGGTTCTCAAAAGATTTCTCTGTTCATAACTTAATCCTTGTTCCATCCGAGTTAACCAACTAAGCGAAGATTAACTCAAGATTTCCCTACCCGAATTAAGCAAACGTATACAACATTAAACCTCCCCACAAGATTAAGCAACTTGTGAGCAACCTGATTCATTAAGCATGAACAGGTGTCAAAAACGTTTCAGAGGTTCAATGAAGAAGAACCAAGCAGAACACAGATACAAATAT